TAATTAAAAGAGAGTAAAAATAACGCTGTATTTACATACCTTACACTTCGAGGTCTGAGAAATACATTTCCCCAAAAAGTCCGAAAAAGCGCAGGAAAAATTAAAAATAAAACGTAAAGAACTATGGAAGGCCAGCAGTGTGATAATCAAGAATTTTTTAATCGGATTATATATATATATATATATATATATATATAATCCGATTAAAAAATTGAACGGATGTCAGTTTTCATTGAAAAATACATCTCTACCCCTTACCAAATTGTAGCTAATAACTGATACAATGATACTGACATAAGGAATACCTAGACATCCTTTGTCCAATTCAAGTAGAATATTCTGTAACCATGGAAACGTGATTTTAGCTGTGTCTTTAAAACCCAGTAATTTTTAAGTTACTCCAAAATTCGCTTGAGAATGAAATGGAACTAATGCTTTTAATTTAATTGCAAAATTAAATTCGGGGATTTAGCTTCTATTTTTGAAACATGGTTAGAACTGTGTAGCGGAAAAAACATATTCTAAATCAATTAATTTATATATATATATATATATATATATATATATATATATATATATATATATATATAATTTCTTACTATCGTTTTGGTTTCATTTCCCTCTCTAATTACATTCTCTTTCCCACTAACTTAACACACGTCTCTTCTTTCTTTCTTTCTTTCTTTCTTTCTTTCTTTCTTTTTATTCCGCCTTCTCGTTGATTATTCTTTTATTTCCTCCTTTTCTATTTTCTTCCTCTGTTCTGGTTTGTTCTTTAGATCTAAACATTCTGGTCAATTATTTTATTCGTTGTTTCATTCATTTTACTAGGCACCTTTCTTCATCTTCTTCTTCATCTTTTTACCATGTCACCCTTATCATGATTCCATTCTTTGGATTTTTACTTTGTATATATATATATATATATATATATATATATACATAATATGTGTATCTAGGCAGCAGTCCTTCTTTCATGCACATTTCATTAAATACGACAGACAAGGTGCTTTTATTTAGTTTTTACACAATTTCTCATGCGATCTAATAATTTATTTCTTTTCGGATGATAAATTATATAAAAACTGTCCGAATGTTCTTTTTATCCGAGCACATTCGGCTATACATTTAGCCATTTTCAAGGATTATATTTTAACTGTTAAAATAAGAAATAGTTTGTTGTATGTATATTTTATAAAATGTTCTAATTTTTTCAAAACACGGTCACGATATTTTGTCCATGTTCAAAGTTAATATTATTAAGTGCGGGTCTTTTTGTTTTTATTAATAAGGCTTCCATTATTTTGGGCCTTTTTTGCATGTAGATGATGCTATCATATTAGTGTTGTCAACAAGTATATGTCAGAATATATATATATATATATATATATATATATATATATATATATTATTATTATTATTATTATATATATATATATATATATATATATATATATATATATATATATATATTATATTATTATTATTATATATATATATATATATATATATATATATATATATATATATATATATGCTTTTTGTTCTTTTCAGAAGATAAAAGCAAAAGCAATTACGGAGTAGTTTAGTGTATTTGATGATTTATTTTATTGTTGGATAATATTCGCTGGGCAGGTTTTTAACGAACAAGATGCTTTAAAAAATAATAAAAATTCATTATTTTTTAGGTGTATAATCGTTCGGCGTTGAACGTAAAGATTCTACAAGAAAGGAAAAACAAAATTAAATAAACTCGGTAGAATGACAGCTGAAAGTCTACAATGTAATGCGATAAGCCATATAGCATCAGCAAAATAACCATTTTTTGAGCATCAATGCGAGGCTTTAATTAGAGAGTGATTTATCCTAGAATCCTCGACGCCAATAACTTCTTAGAATCTAGATATGAACAGTCTCTCTCTCTCTATCTATCTATCTCTCTCTCTCTCTCTATATATATATATATATATATATATATATATATATATATATATATATATATATATATATATATATATATATATATATATATATATATATATATATATATATAAATATATATATTTTGTGTGTATACGTACAATAAACACAGTGCCTGCTCAAATACGAGTAATCACTAAAATAATTTTTGAAGTGATATATATATATATATATATATAAGAAATATACTTCTAAGCTGTGCTATATTTATGAGATAAAGTGCTCAATATCAGAGATGGAGCCTATGTAAATGTAAATATAAAAGTGAACATTGAAGCCAAAACTCAGAGGCGACAGATTATTTCATGCTGTACGCAATCGTTAGGCATATATATATATATATATATATATATATATATATATATATATATATATATAACTAGGTATTGAACTCACACTCTTCGGGTCCTGTATCTGGTTCTAACAACAATATATATATATATATATATATATATATATATATATATATATATATATATGAAAATTTTGATTTAACCAGTAGATAAGAAAATATATATATTTTTCTCATATTTTGCCTTTGATAAAGTCCACATTGGACAAAACGCGTCAGCAATTAGTAGTTTTCCGATTGTCATTTTTATTCATATATATATATATATATATATATATATATATATATATATATATATATATATAGCGTAGGAAAGGTTACTGAGTCAGGAATAACCAAAACGGAATGGTAATCTTTATATCATTAACAAAATAAAATACTCGGCAGCGTGAAGAAAGATAAAACACTGCTAGTGGTGGACTACTTGGCATATTACCCCCACTTATAATAGTGTCCAACGTATTTATGGGAATTGGGACATAACCATTAGTGTTCCGAGGTAAACTATATGACAATATAGATAGATAGATAGATAGATAGATAGATAGATAGATACATAGATACATACATACATACATACATACATACACACACACACACACACACGTATTTGCTGTAATGTCTCTATTGCCTCTGTGTACTACGAAATTGTCTCTGTCCAGATCTAAGTCCGTTTTCTTTTTGTACCAAACACACAAGCCTTACATAGCAGGACACACTGGGCTCTCTTGCCATGGATGGGAACTTGTCTAGGAGAAAAACAACTCTGAATTCAAAACCCGCAGAAGGTAATTTCGGAACCTTGTGGCACGTAGTCGACCAGCTCTCGGTATTCGGCCCTTCAAAATGTGTGGTTGGTTCTGCACAAATCCTTCACCATTGTAATCAAATCGTGTGCTGGTGTTTGGGCTGTCGGTTCCTAGGAACTGACCTGCTTGACCCTCATACGTCGAATACGACGGGGACTCCACCACCACACACACACACACACACATATATATATATATAAATAAAAAGAAAGAACAGTAAATTCGGGGTTTTTAGCTTCTATTTTTGAAACATGGTTGGAACTGTGTAAAAAAAAAAAACATATTTTAAATCAATTAATTTAATAATATATATATATATATATATATATATATATATATATATATATGTACATATAAATATAGATAACTAGACTCGTTTCGAAAAACCCTCAATTTTGATTTGCTAATCAAATCAATGTCGAGGAAAAAAGGTTTTAAAAAAAGAAAGTGCTACAAACATGAACTTCTGTCGACAAAAAATCGCACAGATGCAGGTCTGAAGCCCTGACGATCCGTTTAGATGAAACCTAGGTAGGTTTGTCTGGCTCACTAGGTGTATCTATCTATCTATCTATCTATCTATCTATAGAGAGAGAGAGATATATATATATATATATATATATATATATATATATATATATATATATATACACACACATATAGGTGCGATAAAGACATACGTATGTGCACATATACTTGCACGTTCATATATATCTTTTTCAGGTGTTATAAAAACAGTGCTGAATCTTATATAGCAGAGCTATTAAATATATACATATTAGTGAATATACACAATAACCAGCGTCAATAGCACGAAACTCTGATTTGTGCTATCAACGTGAGATATTCTCTATATTCACTAATATATATATATATATATATATATATATATATATACTAGAATGAATAAATATATATTTATCTAGATATGCATTTTATTTCGTGTGTACCTTCTTCTCTCTCCCCCTCTCTCTGTCTCTCTTTATGTCGTACGTGAGTGTTTATGCGTCTGTGTGCGTGTGCTCGTGTGTGTACAAAATGCGTTCCCCAGGATGTTTTACAAGTACAATATAAGTCGATTAATGGAAAAAAAAAATTCGTTCTACTAGGAAAGATTTGATGTACCACTTGTGAGAAGGTGTGGATTCTCGAAGAGAAATTAAGACAAAACGCCGGGAGACTGCATCGAGCGCGAATGGTGTTGGTGTGTACGCTTTATAGCTATTAATGTCTTTACAAAAAGATCGCAGCGTCGGGTGTGTAGTTCGAGCCACTATCGATTTTTGACATTGTTCTGATCTTGACAAGAAAGAAATCCAATCGATTCAATATAGGGAACTTATTAAATAAGAAAACACATTCAGCTGCGAATGAGGTGTGAAGGAATATTTGGGGAGGAAGGAGAAGAAATTTTGATTGAATGGACGTGAGAAGGACAAAATGGACGGAGAAAGTAAAAAAAAAAAAAAAAAATGGGGTGCGGGATGAAGTGAATGGGAAAACACCGGAGATGAGAATGAAAAATCAAAGAGATTGAAGAGACGAGTGAAAGAGGGAAGGGAAAGAAAGAAAGAAAGAAAAAGAAAGAAAGAAAGAAAAATAAAGAAAGAAAAAAAAAAGAAAGAAAGAAAGAGAAAATAAATTAAAACATGAAAAGTCAAGATGAAAAGAAAAAAAGAATAAGAAAGAAAGAAAAATAAAAAATAAATATGAAAGAAAGAGAAAATAAATTAAAACATGAAAAGTCAAGATGAGAAGTAAAAAGAATAAGAAAGAAAGAAAAGAAAGAAAAGAAAGAAAGAAAGAAAGAAAGATAGAAAAATAACGAAAGAAAGTGAAATTAATTTAAAAAATGAAAGTCAAGATGAGAAGGAAACAGAATCATAATGAAAGAAAGACAGAATGAAAGAAAGAAATGAAAATTTAAGAAAAAAGACTAGAAGGATAAAGAGAGGAAAAAATGGAGTAAAGAAAAAAGCAAATAAAGGAAATAATGAGAAAGAAGAAAACGAAGAAGAGAAAATTGAAACTTAAACCAAAAGAGTGAGATATCAAATTGTGAAAGGGCAAAGAAAACGAAAAAAAGAACGAAAAAATAAAAACTAAAAAAAAATGAACGAAACTATAAAAAAAAAATGAATAAAAGAGAGAAAAAAGAAAATAAGAGATAGAAAAAGACGAAGAAGTAAAAATAGAAGAAGAAGATGAACACTTAAGCCAAACGAATAGGAGGATAAAGAGGTTAAAAGGAAATGAGAAAGAAAGAAAATCGAGCGGAAGAAGGAAAAATGAAGAAATAGAAGAAGAAATAAATGCTTAAACCAAGTGAACGTGAGAAAGAAAGAAAGAAAGAAAGAAAGAAAGAAAGACGAATAAGTAAAGTCAGAAAAAGAAAATGAAAAATTAACCGGAAAAGTTTGGATAATGAAGAAGTGAAATTAAAAAGAGAAAGGAAGAGGAAAGATAAGGAGGTCAAAGTTGAAAGGAAGGAAAGAGAAGATAAAAAAAGAATATTAAAGAAGAAATCCAAAGAATGGAATGAGAGAAGAGAAAAGAAGAAGAAGAAGGATGAGAAAAAGAAGGTGGAGAAGAAGAAGAAGAAGAAGAAGAAGAAGAAGAAGAAGAAGAAAAAATAAAAGAAAAAGAATGGTGCCTAGTAAAATGAATAAAACAACGAATAAAATAATTGACCAGAAAGTTTAGCTCTAAAGAACGAAAGTTGACAGAGGAAGAAAATAGAAAAAAATATGTAGAAAAGATAGTATAATCAAAGAGAAGGCGGAATAAAAAGAAAGAAAAAAAAAACAATCGTGTGTCGGGGAAAGAGAATGTGACTAGAGAGGGAAATGAAGCACAAAAAGGAGAGTAAGAAATAACAGGAGAGTAAGAGAAAAAAAGAAGTGGAGAAAAATTGAGAGAAGAGATGTTTGGAGACATGTATACAAAATTAAGGACAAGAAAAAGAAAAATGGGAAAAAAGGACGGGATAAAAAAGAGAGAGAGTACAAGAGGAGGAGAAACAAACAAATAAGATATAAAGAAACGGAAATAATCGTTCAATGAATAGAAAGAAAGAAAGGACAATAAAAAAGTAGTTATTTAAGAGACAGTTGACAAAAAGGGATGCAAACTAATACAATACATACAATGTTAAGTCGCCAGCAAAGGAAACGCCAAAAATAAGGGAAGAAAACGAAGAGAATTTCACAGAAGTATAAATGAAAACAGGTTCAATTGATTGACAGATTTGATTTTTACGGCTTATCAATCTTTTGCAGGTTATATATGATCTAGAAAATATTTCTGGATTGTAAAAAATAATGAAGGTAACTGAAGACCACTCCACTATATTTTCCAATTAAGACATGTCAATTAATAGGTAAACAAAAAAATATGGGACAAGGTATGCTGAAGGAACATGACATTAAAAATGTGCAGTAGTGGAGAGTAACTCCATTGCTACTAGGACAAAAAAAAATACGAAAATGATAACCAAAAGGAAAGAAGGAAAAGAACCAAGGAGTAAACGAAAAAAAAAAAAGGAAGATCGAAGTAAAATAAAAACAGAAGATAAAAAAACCGCCAAAAAAGAGAGGGAAAAAAAGCAAAATGAAAAAAAAAAAATAAAGAATTTTTGTGAAGGAAAGCGAAGTAAAATTTAAAAAAAAATGTAGAGGAAGTAGGTTACAATTTTCTAAAGGGGTTAGGCTGAGCTAAATATTCATTTTTTTTTTAAAAAAAGAAAGTGCATTGCAGGTGGTTAAGTGGCTAAGATAGTTGTGTCTTAATTACCGGAATTGGTGGTTAGAGTTAAAACCTCGGAGATATAGAATACTGGCGAGGGAAGTCTTTTGTCATTTAGAAGGTTAGCATGATGATATCTACTCTCAATTGTGCAATACGGAAGTAACTTTCGTAAATGAAAATGCGCATAGCCTAGTCTGTTCATATCTATCTATCTATCTATCACAAACTGTTCATCTGTTTATCTATCTATCTATCTATCTATCTATCTATCTATCTATCTTTACTCTTCTATCTATCTATCTATCTGTTCATATCTTTATCTTTCATCTATCTATCTATCTTCATCTGTCTATCTGTCTGTCGGTCTATCTATCTCAATCTGTTCATATCTTTCTTCCTTTCTATCTATCTATCTATCTATCTATCTATCTATCTATCGCAGACTGTTCATCTGTCTGTCTATCTCAATCTGTTCATATCTATCTATCTATCTATCTATCTATCTATCTATCTCAGAATCTGTCTCTATTAATCCCAATCTTTCTTATTTCTTCCTATCTATCTATCTATCTATCTATCTATCTATCTCAGACTGTTCATCTATCTGTCTGTCTATCTCAATCTGTTCATATCTATCTATCTATCGATCTATCTCAGATTGTTCATCGGTCTGTCTGTCTATCTATCTCAATTTATCATATCTTTCTACGCATCTAGGCCGAATTTAATGTGGTATCATCTCTCTGCTTTTTCGACATAGCCTCGTCTGTGGATCCTCTCTGCCCGGAGGCAGACAGTTTGACCATCATAGCTGGAGACGAATCAGTATTTCTATTGTATTTATTTAAATGGGGACATCTCATTATCGCCCGTAGGCATGCTACAAAATTGTCTATATATATAATATGTTATATATATATATATATGTTATATCTATCTGTCTATCTATTTCAATCTGTTATATTTCAATTATCTATCTATCTCAATCTGTTCATATATATATATATATATATATATATATATATATTATATTTATATATCTGAAAATCTGAAAATAATATTTCAAATTGAGGCAAATGTTGCCGCATAATCTTTCCTTTCAATAATCAGGTAGTTGTATTTTTCAAATTCATATACTTGTAAAAGTCTTTAAAGATACGTGATATGAATTTTCCTCTACCTTATCTGTTCAGTGCTGTCTCAGCTTTTTCGGATCCATCATCAAATATCTTTTACACCTTTCTAAAAATCACTGAAACCCTTATTCCTGAGCAATAACCACCGATTTTCCTACTCAGTAGCAGTTTGAAGATTCAAGCACTTGTAAAATCTTCCAAACCACACGGATAGAAGATCTAATTGTCCTCATTGAACGGGAAACGTTAAGTGAAGAGCAAAAAATGCAACCAAATATTGGGAGATAACGAGACACAGAGAAATATAACTTAAATTCATATAATGTCAAAAAAGGAAGAAAAAAAAAACAGAGATAGAAAATCTGAAAACGTGGAAAGTAAATCCATTTTTCTTGAAGACAGGAATCCATAGATGAGCGACATTCCATCTGGAAAACCTGACATTATATTCCGACAAATCATGTGATTCGATTTACGCTACTCGTTTAGCGAGAATACAGTTAAGATTGCGCAATCTTTATATATATATTTTTTTTAAGATCTAAGAGATGAGAAATGGAAGGCGCAGCCGAGAAGGAAAAGAGGTGAAAGAAAGAGCAAAGGAAAAAAAAAAGAATAGGATGAAATAGAAGGAGGGTGAATGGCGGTTGAAGAAAAAGAAGAGGTTGAGAGAAAGATACAGAGAGTGACGTGAAAGGAGAAGATAAGAGGAAAAGAAGAGTGAAGATGAATGAGAAAAGATAAAGAAAAGAAATGAAGGGAAATAGGAAAATAGAAAGGGTTAAATGTATTCAGAAGAAGCGGGAGTGAAGAAGGAAAAACGACGAAGAAACAAAAGAATAGAGAAAGAAAGAAAAGAAGGAAAAAATAAGATCGTAGGTGTTATGGCCCAGGTCCTTGTACGACGGTGATGGTCCAAGGTAGAACCATTAAAGAAGAACTCGAACACGGATATAGAATTACACAGGCATATTACAAACAGGAATATATACAGAGAAGTAGAAGTGTTAGTATGAACAATCAGGTTTAGTAGTAATTGTCTGAACGCGACTCTGTTTCGGACTGCCTCTGACTCAACTCTTGACTCGACTTGAACTACTGACTCGACTTGAACTACTGACTCACTTGAACTACAGACTCCTGAGGCGCAATATTAAGTGTTATGTTCCGGTTCCTTGTACCACGGTGATAGTCCAAGGTAGAACCAATAATGAAGAACTCGAAGGCGGATATGGAATAACACAGATATATTACAAACAGGAATATATACAGAGAAGTAGAAAGGGTTAGTACGAACAATCAGGTTTAGTAGTAATTGTCTGAACGCGACTCTGTTTCGGACTGCCTCTGACTCGACTGACTGACTCGCTCGCTCTGACTGACTGACAGACTCCTGACGGACTTTACCCCAGACTTCAGACTGAACTCCCTGCTTCCTCTCGAGGCGCAGTATTTATTACGTATGGAATAGTCCATTATGTTATTATGGGTAAGCTCCCATAACACTATCCCTATTTCTAATCCCTATGTATTTGTTTAAATAATCCTCTCCTTAATATTAAGGGTTTGGTAAATGTCAAGTTTCTTACGATATTTACTTTTGTTGCTAGTCCGGTGAATCCAGTCTATACCGAAAGGCGTGAACTGTTTCGATTTTTGTGCTCCTGCTAACATCATCGCCACAGGAGGTGTGGACAGAGAGGTAGAAAGTGTTAGTACGAACAATCAGGTTTAGTAGGGAGAACAATGTAGTCTCGGCCAGTATCACTATTCCAGTGTCTTGCAGTAATTGTTTGAACGCGAATCTGTTTCGGACTGCCTCTCACTCGACTCTTGACTCGACTGACTGACTCGCTCTGACTGACTGACTCGCTCTGACGGACTTATGACGAACCTCACTCCCGACTTCAGAATGAACGCTACTTAGTCACCCCCAACGAGCGCATCATGTGGCACAAGGCCGGTTTAACGTGGGATCTCCGAGCTCGTGAGATCGGCAAAAAATATGCCCTTTGAACCTGTAAACACGGTTTCAGGGTCGGTTTACCTCCCCGAAAGAGACTCCGCCTTTCGGCGTAGCCTCGTTCGGGTTCCTCCCCGACCGAAGGGAGAGAGTTCAACCGTTCAGCCGGTCAGCCGGTCGCCCGACTTTGGACTGAACCACCTCCTTCCTCTTGAGTCTTGAGGCGCAGTATTTATTACGGATGGAATAGTCCCATAAGGTCCCATAACAGTAGGTGAAAAAGAAAGAGAAACAAGAAACTGAAGGAAAATAAAAGAAATGAAAATAGATATAGAATAAAATATTTGGGGAAGGAATAAAGAGCAGATATGGGAAAGACGATGAAAAAAAAAAAAAAAGAACCATTCGAGAAGAATCCAGAAGGAAATGAAAGGAAAATAAGAGAAAAAAAGAAGTAAAGGAAGTGCAAAGATATTGAAAACCGCAATAAGGAAATCAATGAAAAGAAAAAAAAAAAATATTATAAATTATTAGAAGAAAAAGAAGAGGAGAAAAAGGAGAGAAAGAAAATCATGATGTATCAAACGAAACATCAAAGACAGAAAGAATTAAACTAAAGAAGAAGAAGAAGACGAAGAAAAAGAAGAAGATAAAGTAAATGAGGAAAAGAAATAGAGAAAGTGAATGAAATGAAAAAAATGAAAGTATAATTCATTAAAAAAAGAAGTAGAAAAAGAGAGAAGAAAGAAAACAAAAGTTACAAAAAATAGCGACGAAAATAAAGAATAATAATAAAAAAACAAAGAGTATGAAAGGAAAGATAGAAAAAAATAGAAGGAAAAGATCGAGGGTAAATGGATAAAAAATAAAGTATAAATGAATGAAAAGACAAAGATGAAACAGTAAAGAGTTTGTTTATGAGTTAGTGATTGGACAAAATTTGGTGAACAATCTGGGTTGCGCTTTGAAATATTCTGACAAAGCATTTAGAGTATTTCACAAACCTTGCTCGGCTAAACAGTTACGTTTTTAGAAGCAGTTCATCTTAAGCTTCATCGATTAACTTTGTGCAGGAAGAAGGATAAATTACC